GTGAAGAGTAAGGTGCAGGAAATGATTTGATGACCACATGAAGCTCCCACACATCCAAACCCCACAACCTAAAGAGCTACGGCTACCACACCAAACTCGATCGAGAAACAAGCTAAGGGTCACATTATGTTTACGCTGCATGGTCTTTCTTTCGATCAAACTCCATCCAGAAACAAGGTCACATTACGTTAAAAGTGACGCCCCATGGAAGCACACTGTAGTACTCTAACTCATCTTCTTGTTTATCATCTTCGGAAATTAAAGATGTCCAAGTGTGACGATTCCACCATCAAAGAAAAGTTGAAACGTCTTTGTAAGCTAGTCTGGTCCAATTAATTCACAGAGAATTAATTAATCATCATCACTTGTTCAGAGCTTCAATTCTCTCATCTGCACCATTGTAATATATAGAAATTACTTTTCTCTCTTCCTCTCTCTGTCTGTTTGATTAATGCATGCTTGACCTTCTGTTTTCAATTCCTTTTCTCTAGGTAAAACCACCACCGTGAAGACGAGATACACTGTCATGCCCTAGGAGACATCACCAACAATCAAGCAAAGGCTCGAAATAGCGAACCCAGCAATATTACTCTATTAGGCATGGCCCTGGAACTGGAAGCAAGCTTCGCTTGCATCAAGGAGCGACGTTGGAGACATCATCCATCTCGTCCATGTGTCCTCGAGCGAGATTAGATTGTCGTAAGGTCTAAGGCGGCGGTCATTGATCCGCCGTCTAACTGGTTGCCGGCCTAGATCAAGACCACCGCCTTTGGCGGTTTGGTCCGAGGCGGTCCAAATTTCTTTAAGATGGCGGTCTGTCAGAACCGCGGCTTTGTTCCCATTTGACTGCCACCTTATTGGCCTGAACCGCCGGCTTAGGTTCAGATGACCACCGCCTTAGGTCTTGTTTATGGCTAATCCAGCGGTGACATGAGCGTCGGCTTAGATATATATTTTTTAATTTTTATGCCAGGTTATTTCCGATATTTGTTGGCACTTCCACTTTTTTATTGATTCATCACTTTAATACCTACTTAATAAATAATTCATGACAATTGATACATGAAAAGTTAAGCAACTTGAATAAAAAAACGAAATTTAAAACAAAATATATTAATTTTAAGATTAATTAATATCCAAACCAAATTGTTCGAATACAATATCCAGTTGACATATAAAAATACAAGGACTTTAAAAATTCAATTTATTGAATAAGGTAGCACAACTTCCAATTCAAATCCACTTAGCATAATTGTTGAACCTGTAAATCAAAAACATATAAATCGTTAGAGAATGTAAAGTAAATGAGATAACCATAAAAAATGTATAAAAACGAGACATTCAAGGAGGCATCATAATTTAGCATTTACATATCAATAAATGAATTATGCAACTAGTAAATTAACCAAACCAAATTGAAACCTCTGGCATGGCAGCTTTAATGTAATCAGATTGGAGCACATAAAAGCACATTTGGACGATTGATTTAGATTTAAAAGATAAAAAATGTAAAATATTCCAAATAACGAATCCAATCTACCCATAAGTCAAGCCCAAAGCCCGGCCCATGAAAAGGTCCAATTGGGATGCGAACAACCTAGGTCATCAAAGATTGATTATTGAGTTCAATGTTATTGAGGCAATATGTACACTGGGGTTAGCTTAGTAAATTTTTGAGTTCAATAATTATTTTTTAAGAATAAAAGTCATTGTATAATTTAATTGAGAATCAAAATAAAACATATAAATCCGTTTAGCTTAGTAAATTTTTCCTAGGTAACACTTACTCAAATAAATGAATTTACCCAAATAAATAACCTTCTGAAAAGTAAAAGAAACCCATGGTTCAAAGTATTGATACGATACCAGTACTTTGAACCATGCGGAAATATGTTTTTTTTTTTAAATTGATTGTTGGGTAGTTTAATACTCATATTTATCATTAAAAATAGTGGGGTCCTGAAACACCTATAAACAAGCGTATCGAGACCCAAAAGATACGGTACGACACGCCCAATACCTTGAAGAAACCTTGAACCTGTAAACGGGTATATCGTATCAATTTTTTAAACCTTGAAGAAACCTAAGTGGAATTCAAGCATATGGGACGTATGAAATTACTATGATTACACTTTTAAGTTCATTGCTTGTCTTTTGGCTACAAGAACATCAATTGCAACTACTCTTTTACCCTACACCCTTGTTAAACTGCCATGTGTTTTTGGCATACACATAGTCCAGATTGTTTTTCCAACCAGCCAAAAGTTTTCTAGGTTTATGTAGCTAAATGGTCTCAAAGGGTTATTGTTCAAACAAATTTGGAAGACCATCCAACAATAGAGTGAAGGCAAGGACATTAGCATTTGCTCTGATGCTTTTGGCATACACTAATCAGGATAAGGTGTATATTGAGAGTTCACATTAGTGCCTTATAGTGCTACCTCGTATTGGGAACATCTTAATATGGGAAATGTTCCCAATGTACATTGAGATGTGCATGTGGGGTGCACCTTTGCTCCACATTTTTAAGGAATCGTGGTGGAGGATTTTGTGGCAGAGAGGGAAGAGGAATCACAAGATCAGATTTGCTCCTCACACAGCACTCCTTACAATGACCTTATAGGTACATTCCATCATGTATCGGGAATATCTCCCATACTTATGTGTTAGGGTAAAATACAAAAACCTCCTCTGAAGTTTCTGACAATCATAAAATCCTCTCCTATAATTTCATTTTTTCCAAATACCAATTCTACCATTTTATAAATTATTTTACATACAAAATTACTGAAATAATCCCATTTTAACTCAACAAAAATACATGTTTCAGTAATTTTGTATGTAAAATTACTGAGATGATCGTTAAAGGAGGTTTTTGTCGAGTTAAAGAGTTATTTTAGTACTTTTGTATGTAAAATAATTTATAAAAGGGTAGAATTGGTATTTAGAAAAAACTGGTGCATTAGTCTAACATTTTATGTCTAGGATGTTGACAAAAGAGAGGTTTTCGTTTTCTCAAAAGTTCAAGGGAGGTATTTGTTAAAATGAAACTACAAGGGAGGTTTTTATGATTGTCATAAACTTTAGGGAAGGATTTTGTATTTTACCTTGTGTTATTAATTCATGGAAAATGTTCCCAATGCGTGTGCCTTTGAGGTTAGAGTGAGGTGCACTCTATAAGTAGCAGATCCCAATTCAGGAATCACTTTATTTTGAATCTCAAAGGACTCTGAATCTCCTGTCCACAAGAACTCTGCCCACATCTATCCACAACACACTTACCCCCTTGCATTGGGCACATCTCGCCGTACATACTATGTAGGAGGATAAGATATTCTCAATGTGTGAGTACAATGTTATGTGGGTAGGCATGGACAGAGTTCTTGTAGGGAGGAGATCAAACTCATCTCAGAGCCGTAGACGCGATAACGTGGAGTTTGAATCTCCGCCCCACAAATGCCCACACAACGTGTGATTGCCACATGTCCAGTCGCACGCGATGGGGCATTCCCGCGTGGGCCCACCGCGTGCGGGGCTAATGGGACATCCGTTAGCTTATCCTGTTAGCCCCAAAACAATCCCAAATTTCCTTTCTCCCATACAACGTTTTAAAAAACGAATCAAAAATAGAACTGTTTTGGCCACTGGTTTATAGGTCGACGGTCCAACCGTCCGGTTCGAATAGATGGCTCGTTCTGACAAATAAATTAAAAATTTTAAAAATAAAAAGGTAAAAAATTGTTGAGCAGGTTTGGGTCGATCGCTTGGGTCAACGAGTTGTTGACTTTTTCAATGGTTTTTGGCCAAATACCGGGTTTGGATTAAAATGGAACTTGTTGCCTGGATGGTTCCCAGGCCGAATGGTTCGACCGTTCGAGTCAACGACGGTCCGAAAACCTTGCTCCTATATTACCGCCCCCTCAACCTCAAATCATGTCTGACCGATTTTACTCTCCTTCATCCGAGCTCAGATCCAACTCGATCTTCGGCATCGATGATCGCTCCGGCTAGTTCACTATCACCAAGCGGCCACCACCACTTGTCACCCCACACAATGTGCGACTGCCACATGTCCAATTGCACGCGGTGGGGTGTTCCCGCATGCGGGCCAACGGGATGACCATTAGCTCATCCTGTTAGCCCCAAAACGAACCCAAACCTCCTTTCTCCCATATTTCTGCCCCCTCAACCTCAAAACAGCGTTTTAAAAAATGACCCAAAAACATAACCATTTGGCCATCGTTTTTCGGGTTGACAGTTCGATCTTCCGGTTCGAACGAATGGGCCGTTTTGACAAAAAATTAAAAAAAAAAGTAAAAAACCGTTGAATGGGGCGACGATCGACCGCCCTAGTCAATGGAATAGGCTGATCGCTCGGCCAAAACGGTCAAACCATTGAGGTTGAGGGGGCGGGAATATGGGAGCAAGGTTTTCGAACCATCGTTGACCCAGACGGTTGGACCGTTCGTTGCAGGAACCATCCAGGCAATGAGTTTTGATTTACTCTAAACCTGGTATTTGACAAAAAACCACTAAAAAAATCAATAACCCATTGACTCGAGTGGTCAAACCGTTGACCCATTCAACAATTTTGACTGTTTTTTTATTTTTTTTTAATTTATTTGTCAAAATGAGCCATCCATTCGAATTGAATGGCCGGACCATCGACCTAAAAAGCGATGGTTAAAACGATTCTATTTTCGGATCATTTCTTAAAATCGTTGTATGAGAAAAAGGAAATTTGGGATCGTTTTTGGGCTAACGGGACGCGGGAACGCCCACCGCGTGCGACTGGACATGTGACAGTGGCACGTTGAGTGGGGCGTTCGCGGGGCGGAGATGCGAACTCGATAACTCGCTTTGTAAAATGCCTAGTATCAATAGTGGTGACGTGGGCCAATAAAAAAACTTCCTTTGTTTTGTAGCAGATTCGGAAGCTCCTGCCACGTGTTTCTATTATATGCATTTTTCCTCCATAAGTCTTATGTGGCAAACTCTTAAACGTTTCCTCAAAAATTTTGGCTTGAGTTTTTTGCGCCAAATTCCGGTTGTTGTGCTGTTATTTCTTGGCCGTGAAGACTGAAGAATATCTTTGCCCGATCAACGAGGCTCTAAACCCTAACTTCCATTTCTCGACGTAATTCAGATTCCCTCTTTTGATTATTCGATATTTCGGTTACATCTAACGGTATGATCCGAAACAATTCGCAATTTAGGGTTTTGGAAACAAAACTCTGTTATTTGGAGAATTTTGAGTTCTTTAGAGCGTTAATGCTTTGAATTGTTTCAAGTTTTCTGTATCGGCTTTGACCTGAGGGAAACGGAAATTGATATTTCTGTGAGAGTTGTATTCTAGATTCAATTGAATTAATGCCATTCTATTTCTTGTAATCTTATATTCAAATGGCTTTTTTTTTTTTAATGTTTGAGTAATCGAGACAATAATCTTCTTGTTGTTGAAATGCATTTGAATTAACCGCATGGTTTGTTTCAGATTGTGTTCTCATGGATATTTCATGTTGTTGGTCTGTTAAGGTTCTTTGAATTTGTTGGGCACTATACTTATTGGATCATGATTGGATGTTGCAATCTTTGGTCTTTTGACTAGTCTCTTCGTATTGAAATATATCCGATCGAGGGCGTGTTTTATTAAATGAAGGTAGCTGACAACAAGGTATGCGAAGTGAAAAACCACAGATAAAGCTGAAGATTTATTGCGGATAAAATTTATTCTACAAAGGCGGTGTTTGTGACTTGGTTGGAACTTTTTTTTGGGGTTGGGTTTTGGGGGGGGAGAGTGATGGGAGTGTTACGTATAACTGATTCTTGTGCTTGATTTTGAAAGGACACAATGAACGTGTTCCTGAACTAGGGTTGAGGAAATACTTGTCCAACAGAGAGAGAGAGAGGTGCAGATTGACGAATTGTATAATGTCAGAATGCAGAGGTTATGGCATTAATGTTGTTTTATTGCTACTGCCCTTTCAGAGGCCAAGTCTTTTTCTGATGTCATCTACTATCATGAGTATCATATGCCTCTTACTTTGGATCCATGTTCCCATCCGAGGATACACACAATGGTTTCGTCTGCATCATTATTTTATTGAAATAGGTTTGGATAAAGGGCTGCGTGGTATGTAGCATATAGCATAGACATAGAAGGGCTGCGTGGTATGTAGCATATAGCATAGACATAGGGTACCCTTCTTGTTTTCATAAATACCTTCCAAGTTATGGATGATGCCATGTCTTTACCTCTCTCAACACACAAGTGAGTTATTTTCTTGGTTATGGATGTGGCACAATTGACTCATTTATTTCATCGCTGATGGTTGAACAATTGATGCAAGAAGCTTTTCTTCATATACAGCAGAGTTTGACTAAGATTCCAGAAAAAGTTGTAACCAGTCAACCAGTATCATAAAATTGGTCACCAATCGGATAGTTATTTATCAAATTCACAAGATGATGGGGGGGTTGACTGGTCAAAGCCCTTCTGGTTTCCAGCAGCATAGTATTTTCTTATACAGTATTTAATTTGTAGTTGGAAATAAAATGCAATTATTACAATAGAATTCTGAAAATTATATTTCCAGAATTTGTTTTTGTTTTGGTGGAAATATTAGAGCTTGGAACCATGTTATCTCGCTTTCTCACAATATGGATGTTGTAAAGTTTTATGCTCATTAAGTCATTATTTTTTGCAACCAAGGCAATAAAAGTTTTGTGCTCGCAATGTGTGTTCCTTTTGCACTCTTAGCTTTCAAGCTTCTTGACATAAAAATGATAAGTTTGAAAGAAGTATTGTTTTTATTGTACTTGAAAATATCATTACCCAAAAAACCGAAAGAAATATTGTTTTGTATTTTCATTGTACTTGAAAATATCCTTTGATCTGTTAACTTATTTGGTTCCTTCTCACCTTTGATTGCTCTCAGTCATGGAAACTAGAGAATCCAAATATGGAGAATCAACTACATCTTTGGTGGTAAGGATAATTCTACTTTTATAATGATGCAATAGCTTTTTACCATTTCTAGACTTCCTACACTTTCTCTTGGATAGCGTATCACTAGCCTTTATGCATTCTGTATTTGTATTCAAAGTAAAAAAGCAGAAAAATGACAATGATAGCATTTCTCTCTTATTTAAACTACATTTTGTCCATCATTAATTACCTGCAGCTGAATCTGTATCCTTTCCCCCCTTTCTGGAAAAAGGTATTTCCTATTTCACTTTAAGCAGCTGCATACAAACTGCTATGGCTTACCTTTATAATGCTGATACTCCCTGGGCTTCACATCCAGATCACTATGTGAAAAATCTAATCCATTTAGTTTTCTCTCTCCACACTATATTCATCTCTCTCCCTTCCTCTCTCTTCTCTCCTCTTGCACATGCCACTCAACTAGTATTTATAACTCATAAAACATCAGGGTATGGCTGACTAAGGCTACTATGGACATGTTTGTGCATCTGCTATCTTCTGTGCTTTTTAAGATGCCGAATTAATAAGTAAAAGGTCATGTTTTCTTTGCTACATATATCTTGTGATTGGGTAGTGTTAATACTTTGGAGTTTAGGTTATTCAAAGAAAGAAAATTTTCTCATTTGTTCAAAGTTGACTTTTTGATCTACTTTGGCTTCAATGCATTTATTTTCAAAATAAAAAAAAAAAACTTTGGTTAGTAGCTGCATAATCTTATTTTATTCACATGTTTTACTTTGTTTGAATTGAAGATGCCCCCTTGTTCTTTTTCTCTTGAAAGCTCTTATTAGTTGGTTTAACCAGTTCCATCTTTTAACAATTGCTTCTGTTTCAGGGCCAGAATGATGGATTGAGAAATGAGGGGCATATCCCCCAACTATTCCCTCAGCTATTTACTTCTGTACCAGCTCTTAATGAAGCTGCCTCATATCTTACCCAAACAACTTCATATTTTACTCGTTGCTTCTCTGATGTTGCTGGTGGGCTTCTTTTCTCCTTGTAATCTGTGATGTTCCCTTCTATTGAGATGTTTATATAGTATTTGTTGTTTAGTTGCATCTTGACATAAAAATGTAAAGTCAGTATTTAAGGTCTGAGAAGCTTATGCCTTGTGCACTTCTTGAAGCAAGGCTCATGGACTATGTTCGCCAAGTTTGAAAAGATTAAGAAGGGAAATAAACAAAAATATTATACTACATCTTGCACCAAATTTTAAAATCCATTCTGTGGGAAGAAAGGCAAACTGGTATAAGTAGAAAGCTACAGTTGCAAAAAGAAAGACAGTGTGATAAATAAATTGGACTGAGGTTTGTAATGAGGATTTAAGAGTACAAGGGCTGTCAGTATGATTGAGTTTTTGCTTCAAGCACTGTGTTTGTTCTGGCAGGTTGCTGTATATAAATCAGTTCTATAAGGAGAAACAACTACGGCAGATTGGGGAGCTACTAAAGGAACAGTAAAAAAATGTTAGCTACCATTCTAAGGTCAGGGATGATGTGCTGAGGTTAAGACTTTCTGTGTGTGTGTGAAAAGGTGAGAGGTCATGTGTTGCAGTCTTAGGTTTGGATGTGGGCTGGGCTTGCGGTATTCATAGGTCTGGGCCTGCAGTTCAGGTTGATATTGGAGGACTCTCGGGGATAGACATTGCACTGTGTGGATCCATTGGTGTTTGTTAGCACTTAGTGATTTTTTTTTTTTTTTTCAGATTGGTTTGCTGTCTCTCTAATAGCTGTGTTATTTTTGTATTTCATCCAGTAGCAGCACACAGCAGTGTATGACTGTTCTTTTGAGAGGTTTATCATTCTAGAATCAGCAATATGTGGTTTCATACCTCAAAATGTCATAAGTTTTTGAGAATGCCTATTTCTTGTGTTCCCAACCAGAGCACACTGTTCTGTCTTTATTTAGCATTGATTCAGTAAATCTCACCTTGAAACCAGCACATCCCCAATCCCAATATTTTGGAACACAACACACCACAGCATGCAGACGACCACACCTATCAAGGGTGTGGTGAGTTCAAAAACCCTTAGACCATAGTGGGACCCAGTGGTTTGAAATGTGACACCTACTTAAGACCACAGAATAGAAAACTCCCCCAAGTCTCCATACTGAACTTGGTAAGTTGTTTTTTTCTTTTTGGCATTATATTTCTGAGGTGTTGGGGCCTATTCCTGGATAAGGTGATCTGGAGTTTGTTTAATTTCTCTGGCCCCCGTCCAGTATGTATACCATCTCACATGCATACTTATTGTTTGAAGGTGCCAGCTAGCTTGCTGGTAAAGTCTCTTGCTGGTTGCAGTGAAGAGCCTGGGATCAAGTCCCACCTTCACTGGGGTTGTGGGGTTTAGGTGTTTAGGGAGGGCTGCCCCCTGTTGTGTAGCCCATTTGCCCACCAAAAGAAAAGGTTATTGTTCTTAGTAAAATTATTTAAGTTACCAATAAAAAGAAGAAAAGATTAACTCTTACATTATGTGATTAATAAATAAATGTCTTCATTTATCAAAAAAAAAAAAGAAGAAGAAAAGATTAACCAATGTTGACTGGACTGAGAAATTATACTGGCAGAATCTTGTAATAGCAAGATAAATAAGAAAAACAGAAGAAATAGAAAGAACAAAATAAGAGTAAGGGGATAAAAGATAAAACCACCGGAGTAGGCATCAGTGGTTTCTCTAGGATTTAGCACCTAGAGAACTCAACATGTTCATCTACAAAGTCTCAATTTCTGGAAACCAGTGGTGGAAAAATGTGAGAAGAAACTTTCAGCTTGGAAAAAATGCCATCTCTCAAAAGGGGGAAGACTTACTCTCTTGAAGGCCTCTTTAGCAAATCTGCCAGTCTACTTCCTTTCAACTTTCCAGATTCCAAACAAAATCAGGAATCAGATTGAGAAGCTTCAAAGGAACTTTCTATGGGTAGGAGGTGGGGAAAAGGGGAATCATTTAGTCAGTTGGAAACAAGTTTGTAAGCCTAAAGTGGAAGGAGGCCTGGGAATTGGACACTTAAAAGAGAAAAATTCTTCTCTTTTAGGTAAATGGCTGTGGAGATTCCCCAAAGAACCCAATGCTCTTTGGACTGCTGCCATATCAAGTAAATACGAATCAAATGTAAACGGGTGGGGTAGCAATCTTCATTTGAACAGGATAAAATCCACAAATCCATGGAAAGGCATCATCTCCACCTATTCTTCTTTCTTTCCTTTCATAAGATATAAAGTAGGAAATGGCTCAAAAATTAAATTCTGGAAAGACCTTTAGTGGGGGGATTCTACCCTTGCTGCCTCCTTCCCTAGACTCTTCTGCCTTACCCTTGACCAAGAAGCCACCATTTTTGCCTACCTTCCAGACCAAACTGTTGAGAACACCCTTAACCTTCAACTCAGAAGACCCCCAAGGGATTCAGAAATTTCTGAACTAATATCTTTAATTCAGACCCTTAAAGAAGCTTACATCTCCCCCTCCAAGTCTGACACCCGAATCTGGACCCTGCACCCCACTGGCGATTTCTCTTCTAAGTTTATGTTCAAGGCTTTGATTACTGATAATCATCATCCCCCCTTTCCTTTTAAAAAGATTTGGTGCAGCCACATCCCCTCAAGAGTTTGCTTCTTTGTCTGGGAAGCTTGCCTCCAGAAAGTTAACACTTGTGATCTCTTGCAAAAAAAGTTTTTGGGAAGACTGTCTATTTCCCCTCATGTTTGTATTTTATGCCTCAGTGAAGGAGAATCAGCARATCACATCTTYCTTCATTGCAATTTCACCCAAAAGATTTGGTTCCATTTTCTGAAAATGGCAGTCTACAGTTGGACTATACCAAAGGATGTCAAGGACCTTCTTCAACAGTGGCAAGGAACAGGGTTAAGAGGGGTAAAATCTACTGGCTATCAACGTTACACGCAGTGCTGTGGGGTGTTTGGGATGAAAGAAACAAAAGGCTTTTTGACAACATACTAAGGTCCCTGTAGGAGCTAATTTCAGATATTTCTTACCTTTGTAACCTTTGGATGGTGATTTCAGATCTGTTCAAAGGAGTCTCAGTCAATGACCTCAATAGAGATGTTTTCCCCTTTCTATTTCTCCCTCACCTTCATCAACCACCCCTGAGAATTCCTGATCCCATCAGTGAAGGAGTGATGATCTTAAACTTTGATGGCAGTGCTATGGGTAATCCCGGATTAGCTGGTATTGGAGAAACTTTAAGGGACGAAAGGGGAAACGACTGTTGGACTTTCAGCGGCCCAATTGGCATGGCAGATTCTACAAAGGCTGAAGTCATGGCTGCCCTCACTGGAATCAGAATTATAAAAAATTTGGGAATTCAAAATGTAACCATTGTAGGTGATTCAGCCAATACTATAAAATGGTTAAGAGACAAAGAGGGAGGACCTTGGAGATTACGTCACTATCTTGATGAGGCCAGGGACTATTTGGACTTCCTAAATGTAAAGTTAGTTTGGATTCCAAGGGAATACAATCATACTGCAGATGGCTTAGCTAAATGTGGAGTGTTCTTAGAGCATCTTTATGGTGACAAGCTTCCTCCTTTGTAATCTACAGGGGTTCTTCCCCTGCTTTGTACATCTTCCCATGCCCCCCCCCCCCTTTTTATTAATGAATCTTGATTAACTTTTTTCAAAAACATGCAAAGAAATGAGATTTGAGAGACCTCAACATGCTTGAGGGTCCAGATTAATTGTATACCTAAGGAAATAAATACTTAGTGGATGGCCTTGCAAATTCATGAATAGGGAAGGCTTTTTTTGTATAGCTCCATTTTTTTTTTGATCAATTCGTGCTAGAATTTTAGTTTAAAGGGGATTGTTTGTTCTTACCTTGTGAATGAGTGTATTTCCTCTCATGTACTCTTTTTGATTTTTTTTTTTATATATAAAGCATGTATATTACCTAATATCTCTCCAAAAGTGCGAGCAAAAAAATATCATAAATATCTTGAGAATGATGTGATTATTTCCCAGCAAATCATGAGAATGAAGACAAGAAGATCCAAGCAACATTTGAAGAACTAAACCTTGAGAGGATTTCACGGAGAACATTTTCTAGTTATTGTGTTGGGTCTATCCAGATTACTACTAGCTTGAATTTTCCAAGTTCTTGGAATAGGACTAAGTTCTATTATGGGCTTTACCATAAAATTTATTGTTCTTGTGATTGGATCTGTAAATTTTGAGTTTAAGCCTTTTGTCCATTTTCTTCATTTCGCTGTGGATATTCTACTGTTTTTCTCTTAAAAATACCCATCAGTGTGTGCTGCATGACTTCAGTTGTATTTTAACTATGGTATTTTAGAATCTCCTCTAAATTACAGATGGATTGGAAAGTTGATGAATATGAAGATATTGAAGTGAGTTTGTCACCAATCACCATACCATGTAATTATTTCAGAAGGACCAATGGATGGAGGTTCGGGGATGAACATGGTGGAATTAACAAAATTTTCTGAATCTTTTGCCACTGCCACTGCTGCTCCACCTATACATGATGGGCAACTGAGGACCCCGGTAGCAGTTTCACCTCAAAATACAACTGCAATTGCAGAAACTTCCGGTAGTGCCCGAAATGGATTGTCAATTTTCCAAAGGTAAAATATTAGATTTACTAGTTTTTTATGCATTTCTGGTTTAGGAAAAAAAAATATTATGTTTACATACCATCCAATGCTTATCTCATGAAGTTTGATAAAACTAAACAGAATAATTACAATCTACACTAGTTAATGAATCAATTATCACCTAGTGGCATGGTCTCGCCTCCCAAAAAACAAGGGTGGGTTGGGCATCAGAAGATTAAGCAAAATGAATAACGCATTGTTGGGAGAATGGCTGTGGAGGAATGACATTGAAAGAGAGTCCTTGTGGAGAACACTAATTCATGATCAGTATGGGAAAGCTGCATTAGGGTGGAAAATTGCACTAGTCCAAAGCCCATTCAGCTCAGGTGTATGGAAAGTTTCCATGAAAATCAGAGAAAATTTTCCTCAAACCATGCCATGATGGTAGCATAAAATTCTGGTATGTTGTTTGGTGGATCAAGATCCATACATCTGGCATACCCACAAATCTTCAATGCAGCAATGGACAGAAATACCCTAGTCAAGGATTATTTTGAGGTGACAGGATATCAACTTATTTGGGTGCCAAAACTTAGAAGAAGTTTATATAACTGGGAAATGGAAGAGTTGCTGGCCCTATTGGGAGATCTTAAGCAAGTACATATTCAGATTCACTCTCAGGAAAGGAGGTGGTGGGGTGCAGAGCATTCAGGTGACTTCTCAGTTAAGTCTTTTTGGTTGGCAGCATGTAAAATCGCAGGCATTCCTTGAAAGTGGAGTGGGAATTCCCTAATAGAGCTCACTGCAAGCCATCCCTTGCCGTATGACCTGCTAAAGAGTTGCCTAATCTTTGGATCCATTTGAAATGAAATAACAAGGCTCCAGCTTCTCCAATGTTGATGAGGCACAGGTCAGAGGCTTTTCTAATTCCTAGTGGAAAGAGATAAAAGATTATAATGGACAACAGGAGTAGAGAGGGGGTGTACAAAAGAGAGGTGGCATAATTGGAAATAAAGATGGATCTATAATTTTTTTTCTTTGTTATCTTAGTTTCTTTTATCGATTATAAAAACTATGCTTTTGGAGTTATATGTTTAAAATATGCTCCTTCAACTCATGATATAATGCTAAACAACCTCCTTAAGCGATATGCTCCTTCTATAGCTATATGTTTAAAATAGCCCCCCCATCTTCCTCAAGCTCTCCGTGGAAAGCAATACAAGAGGCATATCCTATCTTTTTTAATCTCCTCGTATGTGATGTGGGTTGTGATTCTAGGGTCCTTTTTTGCGAAGATCTTTGGTTGGGTGATACTCCTTTTTGCTCCCTTTTCACTGATCTTTATTCAGTTTCTAACTACCAGTTACAATGCATTTCGAATTTTGTCACCTTTTCTCACTTTGGATTGAGTTGGGATTTTGGTTTCAGAAGGGATTTGAGGAATAATGAGTGTGAGTCCCTTATTTGTTTGGTTGATATCTTAAGTCAGCTTTCTTGGTTCAATCCCCTTTCTTGGTTCAATCTTTGGAGGACACTAGAGTATGGTCTACTTCTTGTAACAGTACCTTGTGCTTCTTTTTTCAATACCTTGTACAAACTCGACGGTGAGAATTTTCCAGTGAAATAGGTTTGGAGCAAGCCCATTCCGCCAAAAATTCAAGCTCTGTTGTTAGGAGGTATTTCTTGGGAAGGTGAACACTTGTGACATGCTTCAAAAAAAGAGGCCAAATAAATGCCTCTCCCCTCATATGTGCATTTTTTGCTCTACTGATGGTTGAATCCCTACTCCATTTATTGATCCATTGCCCTTTTGTGCTTTTTGTTTGGGAATCTTTTTGCTTTCTCTTTAGTTGCAAGTGGAGTACTCCCCAAGATGTAGAATACCTCTTCGATCCAAACTTGTTAAGGATGCCAACGAAAAAAGGAAGGGTTATGTGGAAATCAGTAAGGGCAGCAGTGGTGTGGACTATATGGGAGGAAAGGAATGAAAGAATATTTAATGAGAAGTATAGGTCAAAAGAAGATCTAGTGGACGCCATAAAGATAAAAGTTGCACACTGGGTAAAATCACTCCAGCTCTTTCAAAATTTCTCAATTATTACTATAGTAAGAATGTGGAATGAAGTGGCACACATTGCTGAGAAGAAAGAAAGAAAGAAAGGTGATGGAGTGGAAGCCCCTGGGTCCCAACAAGATTAAGTTGAACTTTGATGGGAGCTCTATAGGAAATCTGGGTATGGCAGGAATTGGTGGTGTGATCAGAGATTCCACAAAGCAATGTATTGGCTATGTACTCAGGACCTTTAGGGGAAGGTGATTCTTTAAAAGCTGAACTATTAGCTCTGCTACAAGGGTTAAAAATTGCCAAGCAAGTAGATCATAAGAACTTGGAGATAGAAGGGGACTCAAAAATAGTGATATCTTGGACCATTTCAAGCAATAGTGTTCCTTGGATCTATAGACATCCATTAAGGGAGATGGTAAACATAGCAAGGGAACTCAATGCCTCGTTCACATGGATCAGGAAAACTGCAAATGGAATGGCTGATTCTCTAGCTAAATAGGGAGTTCAAAGGCAGCAGCTTTTTTTGGGGCTTTATTGTAACAATTTCTGGTGCAATGTCTGCTTGCTAACTGCTTTTATTCTGTATTTAATTMTCTTAATTGAATAAAATTCTCATTTTGCTGATAAAAAATAATGCTAAACAACTCAAGGACCCTCTAACAGAGGATATGAACCTTGGTAGAATGGA